TTTCTGTCATTCCCACTACTCTGTGAGGCAAAACAGCATTTGCTGTGGCACTGAAGACATATCCTGAGGACTCAAGTTTGAGGCTGTTTCTCCCAGGCCTGAAAAAAACCTATCACCAGCCTAGGCATTGTAGAGATCCTTTCAACTTTTAACAATAATTTTCTTCTGAGTAATCAAATTCTAAGTTAAAGTTGGTAGAGAATTTTAAAGAGCAGAGAGCTGGCAGGTTATATTGTTTTAAATATTTGTATATCTGATATACACATAGATAGGCTCAAGAATTGCCTGTCCCAAATCATGTATATTATTATTGCTTAGTATAGATTTAATGCAAATGTGTTTAGTAAAACATTTTTGGTGTTTATCTAAATTTGGAATATTAAACAGCTTTAGAATAATTTCATTTTCATTAATTTTATTGGTTATTATGGAAATAAATCTAAGTTCAGCTGAACAAACATAAGATATGTTTTTTAATTCCTATTATAAACATTACTTCAAAGTTTAAAAATCTCTCATGTGATACCTATTAACTTTTTGGGATTTCCTGAGGTGTACTTGTAAGTCTATTCATACCTACTGTGCCTATGACTCGAAGAGAAGTCAAATAAGGAAGAAGTTCCAAAAATAAGTAAGTATTAGTGGAGGATAACACATACCATCCTAACTTTGTTTCTTCTGCATAATTTTCTGACTTTTGGCATTTTTTCATTTTTTAAAATTTTTGATAACCTAGTTTGTTCAGTTTTGAATCACGTATACATACATGGTTCTTTGTATGCTTGTGAATCATTTTTAGTTCTGTAGCTCTTAGATTTAAACATGTTTTTCTTTTAAAAGAGAAGGTTCATCACCAGTTTTTATTTATTAGGTATAATATCTAGTAATTTTATTTACAAAACTTTTACTTAAAAATGTTTATTAAGCTAATTATTAATTTTGGGGAATTTAAGCTTTGTTGTATTTGAGAACTTACTCTTATATAAAGAATAGAAGATCATCTGAAACCAATTATCTATAGTGCTTATATGACCACTCCTTTGTTTGCTGCTTATTTTTCTTTCTTAGCTGGCTAACATGCTAGAGATCTGTGGCAAATTGCCTTTACGAATAAAATTGTGGCTTGATCTTTCTATCACCTATCTCATGAAAAGCTTGAAAATGTTAGGTATTAATTGAGTCATTAAAAATAGTCTATTGCTAATGGGTTTTCATCTTTGTAACTTTAATCTAAACACCTACAAAACACTTTGGAAAAAGTACAAATCTCATTTGGTCTGAAAATATACTGTAGGCCAAAATTTTTTACTTTCTTTATCTGAGAAACTATTTTGGGGGCTAGAAAATGATTTCTCTTTAAATTCTTTATCTATATATCTTTGAATTTCCTGCATAGTCTACCTATCTCATTAGCTCAAAATTCTCAATAGCTGGTCTTTTACATGAACGTGTAATTACTTTATCCCCTTGTCATGGTCCTTGTTCAGAGTGGAAATAACTTTTGCTCCAAATAGGACTTCCATGATCATAGATTGAGAAAGTTAGATGTTGCAATAGCCATAGAGTTTACTTTCCATTGCATAAATGAAATAGAAAGTTTCATCAAATATTATAGGAGATTATAATTTACTTTAATTATTAAAAGCTTATTTTTATTAATTTATTAATTTTTTCCACTGAATTTTCAAATTTATCAATGTAGTTACTTATATTCTTGTTATCTTTTTATTTTCTCTTCAATTGTACAATGGAGTTTAAATATCAGAAGCCATATGTTTTCCATCTTAAAATGCAATTAGGAACTGAGAAACCCAAAGGATGTGATTATTCTGTAAATATTGGTAGATGACCAAATATTATCATGTTAATTTCTGACATGAAATACAGGAAGTGTGGCAAAAGAATCAGAAAAAAAGAAAAAGAGAGGAAAAAAAAGAACACTTTAAAAGAAAGAAGAAATATTGTAACCATAAAACAAGAACAGGGTACTATAAAAATGGACATAAAGAAAGCCAAAAAAAAAAAATAAAATAAATAAATAAATAAATAAAGCAGCTAGAAATAGAAAAAATGAGAAGTAAAACATTAATTATTTTCTTGGAATAAAACAATTTTTTTTTCAGATTGAAATGATTCCTAAGGTTTTATATAAATGTTGAACTCACCACACACCAAAACATATCATCACAAAATTTCATAATCAAGGATTCAAAGGGAAAAAATAGTATGCATAATTTCAGGGAGAAGAAAGAAACAAAAGAAAGCAGATCTACTAAAAATAATCAGAATAACTCTGGACTTTTTAAGGTAACATTGAAAGCTAAAAGTCAATGAAGAACTATCTTCAAAAATTTTCTAAAGAAAAAGAATGTCCAGTTAGAAGTCTGCTTAGCCAGTATCAATCACTGGAGACTCAAGACTATTTTCAACCATTCACGTTCTCAAATAACACATTTCTTTACCTAACAAGATATTGGAGAATGTGTTCCATCAATCAAATGAATAAAACAAGAATAGTGAACACATGAGATTTGGGGAGCAGAAGCTCCAACACAGAAAAGCAATAAAAGGAAGAATCCAGACTAAGAGCTGTGTACTACTTGTACAAGGAAATTACCTCTAAAGGGCGAATCTAGAGGCTTCTGGAAAAAATCCTCTTTGAGCAGATGAAACTGACAGAATGCCTGATACATCTAAATAGCTAAAGAGGAGATTTAGTAATTGATGAAGAGTTTGGAGCTGAATTAGTAATGAGTGTAAAAAGAACCAAACAAATGAATAAAATAAGATATATGCAATAACTAGGGAAAACAATGGGAAGGGAAAACTAATTGTATTAATCCATTCTCATATTGCTATAAAGAATACTACCTGAGACTGGGTTATTATAATGGAAATAGGTTTAATTGACTCACAGTCCTGCAGGCTTAACACGAAGCATGGCTAGGAGGCCTCAGGAAACTTACAATCAAGGCAGAAGGTGAACGGGAAGCAGACACCTTGCTCACAAGGTGGCAGGAGGAAGTGTGTGTGAGAATGAGGAAGTACCACACTTTCAAATCATCAGCTCTCATGAGAACTCACTCGCTATCATGAGAACTGCATGGGGAAACTGCCACCATGATCCAATCGCCTCCCACAGGGTTCCTTTCTCCACATGTGGGAAGTGTGGGGATTAAAATTTGAGATGAGATTTGGGTGGGGACACAGAGACAACCGTATCACTGATCACAGTCTATTACACAGCTCAGCTTAAAGAAAAAATTTATTGTTGTGATAATATATACTCCAAATATTAATCTAAAGAAGTTACAATATAATTCCCATGGAATATGGTGGAATTGTTCTAAATATTAGGGGATGGGAGGTTGAAAGGAGAGAATGCTAAATGCTTGTGATCTGCAGTGGAAGTGTATAAACAATACTTAAAACTGAGAATTCAAATTCAAGAAGAAGCAAAAAGATTATGTTCTTTAGAAATATGGTAAGTTATGCCAAAATAATCAGGCAAAAAGTATAAATTAAAGAATGTGATTAGAAACATGGTGATATATACCAACATAATTGGCTAAGAGAGAAAAAAATTGTTGCTATGGAGGGGGAAAATTTGAAAGTAGAGGTAGGGATTTACTAATATTTATAATAAAATTTCTGGGCCAGGTGCAGTGACTCATACGTGTAATCCCAGCACTTTGGGAGGCCAAGGCAGGTGGATCACTTGAGGTCAGGAGTTCGAGACCAGCCTGGCCAACATGGTGAAACCCCATCTCTACTAAATACAAAAAATTAGCCTGGTGTGGTGGCACATGCCTGTAATCCCAGCTACTTGGGAGGCTGAGACAGGATAATTGCTTGAACCTGGGAGGCAGAGGTTGTAGTGAGCCAAGATTGTGCCATTGCACTCCAGCCTGGACAATAAGAACGAAACTCTGACTCAAAAAAAAAAAAAAAAAAAAAAAAAAAAAAAAAAAATTCTGGGACTATTTGGTGCTTTTAAACTCTTTTGAATTTAAAATCTTATAAAATTAAAATTAAGGAAAAATAGAAATATGGAAACTAATCAATACAAAAATCCCAACAAACAAACCACATAAAATGCAATATTTTAATCATTTTTAATTATACTAGAGACAGTGTCACACTATGTTGTCAAGGATGGTCTTGAACTTCTAGCCTTTTAAGAACCTTCCAACTTGCCCTCCAAGTGCTGGGGTTACAGGCATGAGCCATCAAACCCAGTATGGAAGATATTTTTAAAGCTCATGGTTAAAGCAAGGAAAGATAATTAGATACAAATGGATCTCTCAGCCAGTTGAAAAAATTAACATAGTGCTTATCTGTTTATTTAAAAGGCTTTGTTTTGAAGTCACCTAGAGCATATTTGAATGTGGATAACAGATTATATTCTTTTAATGTTTTTTTCTTATTTACTACCAATAGGTACTAGAAGATAAACGTGTGTTCTTGTAGACCACCGTGAATTCTTGGGGAAACAAATCGGGGTATAAATGAACAGTACTGACGTAAGACCTATTAAGAATTCGGCCGGGCGCGGTGGCTCAAGCCTGTAATCCCAGCACTTTCGGAGGCCGAGACGGGCAGATCACGAGGTCAGGAGATCGAGACCATCTTGGCTAACACGGTGAAACCCTGTCTCTACTAAAAAATACAAAAAACTAGCCGGGCGAGGTGGCGGGCGTCTGTAGTCCCAGCTACTTGGGAGGCTGAGGCAGGAGAATGGCGTGAACCCGTGAACCCGGGAGGCAGAATTTACAGTGAGCCGAGATCGCGCCACTGCGCTCCAACCTGGGCGACAGAGTGAGACTCCGTCTCAAAAAAAAAAATAAAAAATAAAAAAGAATTCAAAACTTGCAAATATAAAACAAATGGAGGGAAATGAGATGTCTGGTACCAACAATTATAATAGGGATTTAGGAAATGAAAAAATAATTATTAGATCCAATAGCATATGATCTAAAATTATTTAATTAATGCTTCAAATGACCATTATGTGGTAACTTTTGTGCTCTGAGTTATATCAGGCACAAAATATAACATGCTCTTTTTTAGGAAGGCAATTGAATTTATGTATGAGAGAATTTATTTCATTTAATAATTACAAAATACAGGACAAAATCCAAAATTGTAGAATAATTGAAAATGACAGCAGAAAGAATACTTTGTGCAGTTTGTAAAGAAAGTGAATATTTTTGGAAGAGCTATATTTGAGATGGGACTTAAGGAGGGGAGGGATTTCTGGATGAAGAGGAGGCAGAGGAATTTACAGATGAGGTGGGAAACAAAGGTGAAACTCATCAAACTGGAGTGAAAGGCACACATTGGCAAGTCATGGAAAGTGATACAGTTGGGAAAAATGATACAGGTGGGATCAGATTACTAAGGACTACGGGTTTTACTATACTAGATACTAGAAGTTATTTTAGGTTCTGTAAATGCACAATTAATAAGATTTTTAAGAAGTTAGCTTGGCAAATAGTATAAGGAAAACAGAGAGGAGAGAGTCTGGTGGCAATAAGATGAGGTAGAGGTTGTATGTATGAATTGTTGCAAGTCTTCATTAGAGCGGAACTGCAGAGATAAGTGTAATGAAACATTGAGAATTTGTAATACCACTTACATTTTATAGTTATGAAGTTGGGTCAGAGAGAAAGGATTATATCATTAACTAAAATGGGTAACTTCACATGGAGAGTTTGATGAAAGGCGTTTGTAAAGAAATTACAACTCATCTAGCCAGTTAATATCAACATATTTAGAAGACTGCTTCTCACCCTCTGTTTCTCTGGAGTGCTAAAGATATCTGATTGAACACTTTTTAAAAACATATTTAATGGGAACGACTGTATAGACAGCGGCTGGGAAGTTATACTAGGTTTTCTGCGTGAAGAGGAACATCTACAGAAAGATAAAGCTGGGGAACTGCCCTACCTATCCAGAAAAATCATATCCAGTCTCAAGCAAACGGTTGCTGAAAGTATAGTCATCATATCATTTAACTCTAGTTGTGCAGATAATAATGTTAGGTTGTATATCTCTTTAGCTGGCATAGACATGGCCAATTTTTCCATTGGTAGGGGTTTGCAAATAAATTATATCTTTGTTTTGTCTTGTTTCATCTCCATGGATTTGTGATTGCGATGATACCTATACAATTAAATGCAACCAAGTGCTTTGTGTACATATAGTTGATTCCTTTTGTTTAAAAATGTTAAGACTCTGAGATCCTTGTGATAAGCCAGACCCAGAGGTTAATTAGGTCGAAAGTAATTTGATCACATTACTGCAGTTGAAGTTGGTGGCAAGCATGTGGCCACAATTCTGTTTAAGATTTAAAATATTTGTATTGCAACCAAGAAGCCTAAACCCTGGTCATGTCGTGCTACGTGTACTGGAAGAAGAAAGAGGAAGAGTGAAGGTGATGTCGGGTTATGGGGAGGGTGAAGAAAGAGGGAGGAAAAGGCATCTCCCACCCAGCCTCTATGGTGTCTTGTAAACTGCAAGGATAGGGAGCTTTTTTTGTTTTAGAGGTACAAATTTTTAACTTACAACATTGTGTTTCTTTTTATTTGGACAGTTTGTCTAAATTTGGTTTATTCAGTATAGCCCCAGACTATTTTGTCTCTTTGAACTAGATGAAATAATTATAGCTTCCCCCTGCCCCGAACAATAACAAATCGAGCAAACCTGAAAGACTTGTATTTTTCTATTTATTTCTTTTGTGTATTTCTAAAAAGTATGAAACCAACTGCTGCTTTCTTCTAGTGGTATCACATATTCATAAGATTCATATCAAAAGAGTTACCGAAGTTTGACTTGTCTTCTACTTCACATTCAAGTTTGATGAGAAATATTGCTGAAGACCATTAATCAGGGATACTGCTCTGTGGTGAGTATGGAAATTTTTAACACTGTTTATTATGGCCCATGACAGGATGGAGTGTGCCTCCTTTTTGGTGTGTACAGTGCACGCCCTACCAAGGAACTGCTTCTCAGCTGGGAATTTTAGTGTGCCTAACTCTGACATGCCCTTTAGTACCAGGCCTGAGCAAACTACCTTGAGGAAGATTAAGTCCATGTCGGCTTGTGATACAGACATGGAGAAACTCATTTTTCACAGCTATAAGCATCCATCCAGAGGAGTCAGAATAAGAAAAGACAACACGGAGCTATCACTGTGGAATGAGTGCATTGGGTAGACCTGAGATACCTCTTTGAGCTCCCGTAAGTGAATACTTTCAGGAAAAAGGGTTCTGAAGCCCTGGAGTTTTGCATACATTAACTTATTCCATAATTTATAGTCAGTGACTATTCATCAAGCGCCTACAATATACCTTGTGATATAGCAGTGAAAGGTTCGTCTTTAGGGAAGAAGACAAACTGTGGGTGTGAGTTACTGGAATGCTCTAATATTTACTTTGTTGATATGGCAGGCAGTTAGAAACAGGATATGCTTTACTACATATTCAAAGAAAAAAAAACCGGGAAGTAAACACTGAAAATGTTAACATTGGTTATTTTGAAATAATGGGATGATGGGTGATGTTTATTTTCTCCATTATTTCCTTCCAAATTTCTAAATTTTTTATAACATGTATTATTTTTATATTCAGAAAATTGAAAGCTCCTGTTAATGTTTTCCCTTACAGTGTGGAATCCAAATGTTTGAGCTAAAGTTACCAGGAGAGCTCACAGGCCAAAGTGAGTTTAGCCTGGGATTCCGAGTTGTTCCCTGGAGTCCATCTGGGCAGGGCAAGGACAGAGGCACAGTCTCTATGTAAATCATGAATTAATGTCAAGCTAAAAAGAGTAGTGGGAGAGAGCTGGGAAGGCAGGATAATTCACAGCCTGAGTCAGAGCTGGGTCAAGGCTCAGGAAGGTGTCAACTCAAAGTTTCATCCTGAGCTTTCCCAAGCCCGTGGACCCTGATTGGCAACTCTGAAATCCAAGAGCTCTGCAACTTTTCAGAGCTTTCTTTTCATTCGACAGTAAAATCTAATCTGACTTCTACTCATTTGGTGGTAAAATTTTACCTTAACTTACATGATGCTGTTATAGGCCACTTATAATTGTGTTTAATTTTTAGATTCTGCTCAGACATGCTGGAGTTGTTAGATAATATGTATTTTATGTTCCATGTGACCTTTCTAAAACCCACAAACATCTGATTCTGAAACATAAATGACCCCAGGGTTTTAGAGAAGTTATAGTAGATGTATCTATTTGACATTTCTCTCTATATATACTGAAGTCACTTCCAATTCGCATTTTCTAAAATAGAACTCACCTTGCCCTTCAAACCTGCTTTTTCAGATGTTCTATCTCTGTTCCTTTTGTGGCTATCCTCCCAGATACAGAAACTTAAAACTAATATCTTAATGAGACCCTTAATGGTTAGTATTATCTACAGCTGTTAGTCTTCCAATAGGACATACTATCCCCAAATTTTTATTACTCCAATCTCTCATTTGCATTCATGACAGATTGATCATCTGAAACATGTGGTTTCCAAGCCTTTAGTAGCATCCAGCTTTCTACCAAATTAATAAAACACCTCACCCTGGAATTAAGGACCTCACCTCACCATATGCTCCCAACCTCACCTCTCTAATAACCCTCTAGAGGATTTTATTTTCCCCTAGAGAATCTTAGTCTATACTCCTGCCTTAAACATATTTAGATTTTCATATTTTACTCACTGCTAATACCATCTCTGTCCACTGGAGTAATCTTTAATTACAGCAACTAACATATTATATTTTCCAAGTGAAAACAGCACCTCCTCCATGAAGCCTTCTATAGTCAGCCACAAGTGACTTGCAATCCTTTGAACTCATACTATATATTAACTGCCTGTTCCACGTGAAAAGTATATCCAGCCTTGTTTTGTCTATATTCACGTATTGGTGGATACTTAACCCAGTAGCAGAGCATATAGTTGGCCTTCAATAATGTGAATTTCCTTCTACATAAATATGTAATATTGTTAATATCTAGTATCTTCATATTCCCTATAGTGCTTATAGTACATGTTCAGTAAATATTTGTCAAACGCTGGGATGAAACTACTATAAAAGTGCAAAAAGTGGACTCCTATTCCAATAACTAGAATCTTCCCCTAAGATGTATATAATACTCTTCATTAACTTACAAAAGTCCCATAACCACAACATGTGAGTATAATCCTTTGCCTAGATATGTTATTTTGGTTAAGAAGTCTGGAAATCTCATGAGCTCCAAGAAGACTTTCTAAAGAGCGTTCTGTAAAGCCCCTGCAAAAGCTATCTTAGCAAAATTTCCCACACCAATTAAATGTGCAAAAATGGCTTACATGGAGATTAACCTCTGGGTTTAAGGGTAAGTTGACTTCCTCATTTTATTTAAAATAAGTTACTTTCCACTGGATTGGAAAGCCAAATAAGGTCAAAAATTGAATTCACTAGAGGCTGCTTGTTAAGAAAAGTATGTGGCAAAAGCATTTATTCTGTAAAGACAAATTTAATCCAATGAAAGACAATCACTTAAAAATTAAAATGGGTATTTGGAAGATAAATAAAGGGCAGGAATAAATTATCAAGCATGGAGTATGAATAATGATAATTTTATAACATGTTTATCCTTTTTATTATTTACATTTTATTAGTGATTGTATTGAAAAAATATTGTTAAAAAATATTTTTTATCCAGCAGGTCTTCAGTGATGAGGGAAACAAGATGTTTTCCAGCAATTACTTTTGTTAGTTACTGATCAGTTTGAAGCTTTTTATTATGTTCCATGTACAGAGAAAATGATTTCTCTAGAGGAGTCTGATCCCGCAGACACAGTTCAGAATAGTGAAGTCTTTGGGCTTTCTGTACTAGGCCATTGAGTTATGCCTCAAATCCTTTGGGAGATACCAACAAAATGTCTAGGTTTAAAGTCCTTCTGTTCCAGCTTCCATGGGTCTGTTGATAGTACTCTTATTATGCAATAGAATTGAGCAGTTTTAATAATGTCTCCTCTTTTTTGAAAGTTTATCTTCCCTTGGATTTCTGATCATTCCATTCTTCTAGGTCTTCAACTTTTAAGGCTGCTTTTCCCCAATGTTCTTTCTTCTCAAACCAATGAAATCCCTTCTATGTACCTACTCCTTTCCTTTGGGACATCTCACACTCTTTAATGATTTTCAAATGTGTGTCCTGGCCTTATCTCCCTTTCCTAAGAAGTCACACGACCTGTAAATGGTGAAACTGGGATTTGAACCCAGGCTTGTAGACACTAAAGTCCAATTTCTCAATCATAACACTAACCCTGTAGGTTATGTTTCACTATTATCATTGCTGGCATTTACTGAGTGCCTTGATTTGGTGATACTATGTGCCAGTCACTGGGTTTAGATCCTTTCCATATGCTATGCTAATTTTCATGATAGGCCTTTAGTATTGTTCCAGTTTCCCAGGTGAAATTTTATGCTGTGGGTGTGGTCCATCAGAACTTAACGAGTTGTCATCTGCATTTTCAGTAAGATCTCAAAGGCAGGCATAGTTCTGGAGCACAGTTACACGCTGCTTTAAAACATTAGCACGCAAACTCAAATGTCTACATCAATGGAGTAGGTAGCATAAATAAGCAAATTAGGCTTTAAGACAGGGACTACTAAGGATTGTGGAAAATTAAGAGGTGATCCCCCATCTGAAGTCATCCAGGTTCAGTTTGTAATGTCACTGTGTAAGTGAGCATGAAAGTAAGCCAGCCCACAGGTGCACACACATACATACATGCACACACACAAACACGTGGGCATGCACACTCAGATGGACAGTTTGCAGTCCCTTCAACTATCACTTTCCCTTTTCTTTCACAAGCAAAATTATTAGGTAGAATAGATAGATCAACAAATACATACTGCCATACTGCCATTTGGGGGATGAATGTGAAGTAATTGGTTTGCATGTATTCATATTTAGAATCTTAAGACTAGTCTGATAAATGTCTGATGATCACTTTTCAGGAGTGTCTGCTTCAGTTGAATTGTTTTATTTAGGCAGTCATGAAAAACAAGCTTTAGTACTTTCTCAAAGAAGAAAAAATAGATCATGAATTTCTTTCTTTTTTTATCAGATGATAATAATACATAGCTTGAGAGCACAGCAGTTATCTCTCCACCTGAGGACTGACCCGAGGCTCCACTTTGAGATTGCGACGTGGTGCTCACCGTGGCATGGACAGTCAGCAGGCCAGACAAAGCCCCCCACTCGCGGTGCAGAACGCCATGGGTGACTCCCTTGCTGCTTGGTTTTTCAGCACTGGCAGATGGGACCTCATTGTTTCAAAGTTTCAGTTTGGAAAATTCAGACATTAAGGGTTAATCTACATTTTAAAGTAGTCGTCTTTGAAGGAAATTATGCTATAAATGAGAAACCTGTGTGGAGTTCTGGGTTCTTTATGTTAGCTTTGGCAGGGCCAGGAGACTGTTTTGATGATAGAGACGGCATTGGAAACCTGTATTTTATCTCGCAGGAAAACGAAGCAAATTTAAAACATTCCGCATTTGCCTTTTGACACCCCATAACCAAAAGATGAACTTTAATTTCTGGGAGGCCTCCCAGTGATTAATGCCTTTACGTTTATGACGTGAGAAGAATGAGCCGTATGTTACAGTTGGTCTTCTGTCCGTTTCTGAAGACAGCCTGTGCCAGGATTTTGATGTGCACTCGCGTTCTGGCACCAGGCTGCACACTTCTCACCCAGCACAGAGCCAGCTCACAGATCCTGTTCGGCACAGCGACTCCAGACATACAGCATGAATTTGAAGGCGGCCTCCTCAAATGTGGCAGGCACAGTCTCCCTCTTCCTATTTGGAGCCTGTCTGTGGGGCTAGGACCTCTCTCAGCTGCCTGTAAAGCGGCCTTGGAGAGCTGCTTTTGCTAGCTACTTATTGCGACAGTCTCTGGGAAAGGGGGGCGTGGCCCTCCAGGGCAGCTTCACAATTGTTTTCTGTTTCCTACCTTTGCTGGTAAAAGGAAACTGTTACTTTGCTCTTTTCACATATGCCTTAGAAATCATATGTTTCACTCTCTTGGAGGGGACAGTATTGGAGTGAAGACCTTTGGGTCTTTCTTTAATTCCTGCATCTCCTGTGGGAGACGAATGACATTCACTAAGCCATGTGTGGTAGCTGTGAATGCTGTCTACCAAAGATTTTTGGTTCTCCCCCACTTTATGGCTCCTGTTACGATGGTACTTCCTCTTCTGTGTGTAGCCACATAACTTGCTTTGTTCAATAAATATGGATCAAAAGTGGCATGTGTTACTTAGGACTGTAAACGTTAAGAGCTGGTGAATAAGTTACCACTCTCCCTTCTTGCTGCTGCGGTGATTGAAGAAGTCCCAGGTTGAGATGCGGCGTCTGTCAACCTGGGTCCCTGACAGAGTCCGAAGAACAGAGCATCCTTGCCCTCCAGTGTCAGACACATGCCATGAGGAAAAAATACATGTTCCTTTGTTAACCACTGTGATTTGGGGATTGTTTGCTACTGCATCGTAAGTAGAGCCACTGCCCTGAAGCTCAAACAGTATAGAGACAGACCCATCCCTTTCTTGTTTCACTCTTCCTTTTTAGGTATCTATAACATAGGTGAGTTTCTTCCATGTGGAAAAGGGACAAACAAAGTTGGCTTTAGCAGGTCCACCATCTTCCAGCTTTTCTCCCTGGGACAGGCTAGAGAGACCAAAATCTAAATCAAGAAGGGAGATAGGTAAACCTGCTATGTTCTTTAATTAGCTTTATTTACCACGAACACATTTAATACATTTTCATCCCCCTCAATTCTTGTTCATTACTTTTCACTTTGGTTGGGAGTACACAGGTAGGAAAAGTGCTGACGACTGTTTTCCAAAACCTCCAACACATTGTATAGCACACCACTTATTCCTCTATGTAGACAACAGGTATAGTATAGCATGCTATTTGTGTTGTTTCTTAAAGTCCTGAAATGAGAGCAGCCTGGTGGCTTATAGAAGTGGTAGACAGGCTGGGCGCAGTGCTCACGCCTCTAATCCCAGCACTATGGGAGGCCTAGGGGGGTCAGGAGTTCGAGACCAGTGTGGCCAACAAGGTGAAATCCCATCTCTACTAAAACTATAAAAATTAGTCTGGCGCAGTGGCAGGCACCTGTAATCTCAGCTGCTCTCAGCTGCTCGGGAGGCTGAGGCAGGAGAATTGCTTGAACCCAGGCGGCAGAGATTGTAGTGAGCTGAGATGGCGCCACTGCACTCCAGTCTCGGCGACAGAGTAAGACTCCATCTCAAAAAAAAAAAAAAAAAAAAAAGTGGTAGGCACATTTCTAAGATGGGCCCTAAATTTCCAACCCCAGATGTGCATATTCTTTACATTACCCTTCCTTTTGGTGTATGAATTAAAATATCATTTGTGAGCCGGGAGCAATGGTTCATGTCTATAATCCCAGAACTTTGGGAGGCTGAGGCTGGCAGATCACTTAAGGTCAGGAGTTTGAGACCAGCCTGGCCAACATGATGAAACCCTGTCTCTACTAAAAATACAAAAATTAGCCAGGCGTGGTGGTGTGCGCCTGTATTTCCAACTATTTGGGAGGCTGAGGCAGGAGAATTGCTTGAACCTGGTAGGTAGAAGTTGCAGTGAGCCAAGATCATGCCACTGCACTCCAGCCTGGGTGACTCCATCTGAAAAAGAAAAGAAAAGAAAAGAAAAGAAAAGAAAAGAAAAGATCATTTGTGCACAAATGAAACATTACTCCCGTAGTTAGGCCACACTATATAGCAAAGGTGAAAAGATTTTGCCAATGTAATTATGGCCACTTATCAGTTGAGCTTGAGTTTCCCAAAAGGGGGTTACCCTGATTGAGCCTAACTTAGTCCGGTGAGCTTTCTTCTTTTTCTTTCTTTCTTTTCTTTTTTTTTTTTTTTTTTTTTTTCTGTGGTGGAGTCCCGCTCTGTTGCCCAGGCTGTAGTGTAGTGTCATGATCTCGGCTCACTGCAACTTCTGCCTCATCGACTCAAGTGATTCTCTTGCTTCAGCCTCCCGAGTAGCTGGGATTACAGGCGCCTGCCACCACCCCCAGCTAATTTGTTTGTATTTTTAGTTGAGACAGAATTTCACCATGTTGGCCAGGCTGATCTTGAACTCCTGATCTCAGGTGATCTGCCTGCTTTGGTCTCCCAAAGTGCTGAGTTTATAGGCGTGAGCCACTGCACCCAGCATCAGGTGAGCTTTTCAAACTGTTGATTAATAAATTTATTATTGTTTGAATCTACCAAATTGTGGTAATTTGTTATTCGGTAACAGAAAACTAATACAAAAGGAACATGATTGGACAGTTTTTTTTTTGTTTTTGTTGTTTTTTTTAAATATATCTGGAACTGGGAGTGTTGTCTTCTCATGTGGCCAAGATAGAACTGGTGGTGAGAACCTCTATGCCCCACCCTTCTCTCCTTAAGCAATTCAGAAGGGTGATGGAGACAGAGCACAGTCTCTGTGACAATGGACAACCTTGTCCTTCAGCCCAGTGCTGGCTGTGAGAGGAAATGGAGATCTCCCTGAAGACTGTTGAGTTTCAGTGGTTATTAAAAGTGACAGAAACTCAAGTATCCAATATCAGTTAGGAGACCTTCTTTCTTCAAGATGACAAGTCTGAGTTCCAGCACCAGCATAAGGATGTTTTACTTGATATGAACAGCAAGAATCCATGGAATGAATCCGTTAGGTCATAGTAAGAACACTGATTATTTTAAAATTTATCACCAAGAAGCCTCTCGAAGAGAGTCATGCTGTTCTGCTTGATAAAATATAAACTCAAATACATTAAATATTAAATAATATGTTTATTAGTTACAAACAGAATGTATTTGTGGGGTCTGATAATAAAAGCCTTTTCATAAATTTGTGTTCATTCATTTTAGTCTTTTTTCTGACAATGGATTGCCAGTTGTGTTTCCGGCATTTCTACCCTTGCCTCTCATCTGCAGTTTTGTTCTGGGGACAAGAAAAAAGATTGCTTCATCTTTCTTTCACTGTACTCTCCTGCACCTTTTGGGGCAAGGATGAATCTCAAAGAGACTGAGTCATAAATGGGGAGTCATAGCTGCAATGATTCCTCATGCCTGATGCTCTGTCCTAGAGGCAGGAGAAATGTGTTCAGCTGGGAGAATGAGTGAGTTTGTGGGGTGAATTCAGAAGCCACTGCCCTTGACCCTTTTTACAAGTATTCAGGGAAGTCTTGGAGTGGCTAATGTTGGTGGTGGTAAAGAAGTGAAAAGGGGGCCGGGCACAGTGGCTCAAGCCTGTAATCCCAGCACTTTGAGAGGCTGAGATGGGCAGATCACGAGGTCAGGAGATCGAGACCATCCTGGCTAACCCGGTGAAACTCCATCTCTACTAAAAAATACAAAAAACCTAGCCGGGCAAGGTGGCGGGCACCTATAGTCCCAGCTACTCGGGAGGCTGAGGCAGGAGAATGGCATAAACCCGGGAGGCGGAGCTTGCAGTGAGCTGAGATCCGGCCACTGCACTCCAGCCTGGGCGACAGAGCGAGACTCTGTCTCAAAAAAAAAAAAAAAAAAAAAAAAAAGAGAAGTGAACAGGAGTAACTCATATCCTCCGAATCTTCAGAAGATCACATCAGTGCGGGGTGAACGGGGGTTACATTAGTGTTGTCTTCTGAGCACTCAGAGGACATGAGTTACCCCTGTTCACCTCTTAAAAAATAAAATGTAGCTGTTGATGTTTTTGATATCCTCAGAAATAGTTATTCTTCTCTAAGAAAGAAGAAATCAATCTAAGGGAAATTCTATTCTTCATGAACTGCTAAGGTCTTTATGCTCTTCTACATTCAAATCAGTCAATGATCTCTATGGTTTTATCAATAAATTCTTGCTGGTTTTATCACACTAAGAATGACCATATACATTCTAAATCCAGCTCAGGTGATTTTAAGCAGATTTAATAAGTGATCACGAAACAAATATGGTAGTTTCACATTTTTACTTGTAGAATTTCCTTTAAAGGGTTTTAAGATTCAAAAGCTTTCCAACTTTGCCCTTCCTTCTTCATGTTTTCTCATTTTCCATAGAAAGACACAATAGAAAAACCAGAAAATGTAAATATAGGACAATAGCTGGATAAAACCTGTTAAGAAAACTGACTATAAATGGTTTACAATATAGTACTATCAAAACAAACATTCCCATCACCAAACCATGTGTAAATTAAATTTTCCTGACAGTGGATCTGAAGGTGTTCATCCTTCCTTGCACCCTTTTCCAGTTTCTGCCTTTCACATGTAAATGGTCATGAAGCCCAGCAACTCATCTGCCATCCCTTCTCTCGCATCTGTCTCCTACCATTCAAGGCTAGGCCCTCGTGACCTCAAATGTGCCCTTTTTAATTATTTCCTAACAAAGCATGCAACTTCCAACTGCTTGAGCCCAGGGTCCCACTTTCAGTTTGGACTCATCTCATGACACACAGTCTTCTCTGTAGGAGGCTCTGGGGCCCACTGACCCTGGCATCCCTCCATGCCTCACTTTCCTTTGGTAGTTATCATCATGTAATTGTCTTAGTCTGTTTGGGCTGTTATAACAAAACACCATAAACTGAGTGACTGATAAATAACAGGCATTTATTTCTCATGGTTCTGGAAGCTGGGAAGTCTGAGATTAAATCACTGGCAAACTCAGTGTCTGGTGAGAGCCCACTTCTTGGTTCTTAAACAGCCATGTTCTCATTGTGTCTTCACATGGTAGAAGGGACGAAGAAACTCTTTGAAATTTCTTTCATAAGAGCACTAAAAGGCTTTGCCCTCATTACCTAATCTGCTACCAAAGGCCCCACACTTGAGTGATAATATTTGGGTATGTGATGGTATTAGGAATACCATCATATTGGATGTCAGGAATTCAACATATGAAATTTGAGCGGATACAAACATTCAGTTTATACTAGGAATATATCACAGGGGTTCTCCTCTAAGCCTTGCTGCTCAACAGCCCATTTTCTGAAAGCCTTATAGACCTAAGCATATCAGACCTTTTTCTTTCGGTTGTATAGTCATACATAGGTTATAAGAACAAAAACTTTTAAAGGTACAAAGAACCAATATAGTTGCTGTCTCCTATCTGAGATGTTAACTAAAAGATATTTCTGGCTTTGTTCCTTCACGTTTATTTTAGAAGATGGGTTTTACCAATTCTATCTAGGTTTCCATATTTTACCTTAGTAAAGGCCAATTTAAAGTGAGCCTCACAAAATCTGGAAACATTTCCCT